TCAGCACATTGATGATATATACTTTAATTCAGAAGCCTGTAAATGATGAATATTCCATATCCATCAGGTCAAACTATAAAGTGTTCTGAAATTTAAAAAATATTTCATGTTCACTAGCCTGTTCTAAAATTAGGAATATTGGCCTGGCCAGTATAGCTCAGTGGTTGAGTGTCATGTGAACTGTGAACCAGGAGGTCACCATTCAATTCCCAGGGTCAGAGCACATGCCTGGGTTGCAGGCTTGATTCACAGTAAGGGTTCATGCAAGAGGCAGCCAATCAATGAATTTCTCTCATCATTGATGTTTCTATCCCTCTCTTCCTTTCCTTTCCTCTCTCTGAAATAAAATTTAAAAATACATATTTAAAAAATAAAAATAAAATTTGGAATGTTGAATCATCTAATGACTGGAAAAGAGGAACGGGTATGTGTCAGAAATTTACATAACACACTGGTTAATAGTTATTTTATTATAGAGACCCAAAATGGAGAAACCTAGGAAATATAAAACCAACTTATTGCAAATTGTATCTAATTCAAAAACAATGATTATTTCCCAAGAAACATTTGATCACTTTGGTTCACTTTTTGTAGTGTGATAGTTTTCACATTTCTGGACACTAGCATGTGCTTGACATCACCTGTAAACATGCACAAAAAGTTTTTTTCTGGTTGATTAGAAATGTGCACATCCATTGGTTCCATGCGGGTAACAGATGTCTTGAGGGTAACAGATGTCTTGGCTTTTACAGAGTAATTGACACAAAGGGGGAAAGAGGATAATTAAAGGGATGGGAGGAGACACAGGGAAAGTGCAGTCTTCCTTGTGGAGGAAAATCCAATAGACCTTATTCTTCTTCAATTTCGTTTGTATCCCTTTCCATAGATACAAGGAGAGTATAACGGGAAAGCATAAAATAAAGAAACAGGGCTGGACTATCTGCTAGTAACAGGATTTATCCTATCATGGAGTATTCTAGTATAATTGACTCATTTAACAGCAGTTTAAAAAAATCACAACAAACAAACTATGAAAGCATAAGTCTAATCACTAACGGCAACTTATGTTTTTATTGGCCTCACAAGGGTTCTATGTGGAGGATGGTTAGCATAAATATGGTTTAATTGTATACCCAATGTGACCATGTTGTGAATTGGTGGGAAAGAAAAATTGCAAGACTGAATGAGCTGTATGTTAGATATACATCTTAGGCTCTTGTAATTTGCTCTTTGTTCTCTGTCAGTGCTACAGTACTGCCAATTGACCTGAAATAAATGAGAACATTTAGCATATGTTTGCTGCTGTTATCATCAACAAATTCTCAATTATGTCAGTGTATTCCATTGTGCAGCATTCAAGTAAACTGTCATTTACTACCTTTTAACTATATAACCTGGGCCTGTTTTATTCTTCTGATTTATTCCTTTCACTTTAAATGAAGGTAATTTTATAGCCTGTTAGTCAGTGAGTATCCATGTTATTCCTTGATGAGAACTATTATGCAATCGTTTTCTAAGGAGCTAGTATTGCTTTGAAGAGAAAGTATCAGGTTAGGTACCTAGAAGCTTATTACAAAACTCAGATGACCTGAACGATAAGGTTCTTTGTGCTTGATGCAAAGCCCATGCCATTGATTTTTATTGGACCACCTGTCTCCTCAGAAAATAGGTAAGTAGAATTGTTTTAAATATATTAAATGTTTTAAAAGGTAATTGGGACAATGCAGATCAAAATTTCAATTATTAAGTTGATTATTAATTTCCTTCTGCTGAATAGAATTACATTTTATTCACATTCATTAGGAACTGGTGAGATGGGGGAATGGTTTCTGTCCCCATTTTAAAAAAAATCAGCTTTAGTAAAATAGAAGCAATATTGCTTGAGTAGTCTAATGACCACATTAATTCAGTCACTTGATCTTTTTTGAGCCTCATTTCATTACCTATAAAATGGAGATAGTGACAGCTAACATCCACAGTTGCACTGGGAATTACACGCAGTGATAAACACATGAGAAACCAGCATATGTCTGGTTGTTGAGTGCTTTACGGTTGTGTTCACTCAGTGGGTCCATATTCCTTAATTGCCTTGGTTTCCAGGTTAGGCTTCTCCTGGAAATAGAAAATTCAAGGAAGCTCTGACGAGGTGTCTAGTAACAAATAGATTGAGATTGTATGTCAGGAGATTTATAATTTCAATTTAGCCCCTAAAAATATGAGATTGAAGAAGAAACAGAGTAGAGTCAGTTTCTTTAAAAAAAAAGTTCCTTATTTTATATTTGTGAAAATCCATAAATTTTAAATTTATCAAGTCATAAAATGCTGGTACCATATGAGACTTCAAGGTTTTTGGATCCACTGCCTCCCCCAGTTTATTTCTCATTTTTAGAGGAAGGCAGTGAGAGCCCATGAAATTAAACATCTTCTCCAAAGTCAATCGGCCTGTGAGTGACAGAGCTGGGACTGCAACCTTCATCTTTTCCTGACCTATATCTGGACTATCACTAGACACCACCCTGCTCTGGGACTGTCTAGGTTCTACCATGAACAAAGAAAAGAATGAGAATATTGAACTCACTGAGCAGAGCAGAAAAAGATATATTTCCTTGTTATGCCTTTGAAATGGTCTGTGCACCTTAGTTATTTCAGCCATTCCTTTATGGATTACAAATATATTTTGATTATTTGCATAGAACAACTAGCTTCATCTTCTTCAGTAGGAAAAATACATATTCACTAATAATTACATAATATTTTCTATGTACAAGGCACTGTTCAAAGGATTTTACATAGATAAACTAATTTATTCTTCGTAATAACACTAGAAAGAAGTATGTTTTTCTTTTCTTTCATATAAAGAAATGGAAGCACAGAGGGGCCAAGTAATGCCCAAGATTACAAAGCTAGTATAACTAGGCTTTGAAGGCCTTGAGGTTGGAATTGGAAGATGCTAGAGAGATTTCATTTTCAGAAGACACATGGGTGGTGGATCCTCATTCTATGAGCTCTCTGTTATGCAAAGAAAGTGACTTAAAACTCAAGTTACTTAGATTTTACATATCTAGTTCTACTGAATCCCAACAATCTAGATGATAAAATTCCACTGGAGCACACAAATATCAACAACAGAGTACATTTATCTTATTAAAAAAGTTAAAAGTATATCCACTTTATTCATGTCCTTTTCTCATCTGCCCTCTTCCCCTCACCATTTTAAAATGTAATTCTTTATTGTTGAAAGTATTACATAAGTCCCCTTCCTCTCTCCCCCCACATTGACCCCTTCCAGCTCGCTCCTATCCAACAGAGTACATTTAAATTGATCACCATTGGAATAAATAGAATGAGCCATTATGCTTGGTCCAAAGTTGTTAAAAAATAGTATTTTATTTTATGTTTGTATTTCTCTTAGCACATAGAAATAAAAATACTTATGGGGATGATATTCTACTAGTCAAGAAAAAATTATCCAAAGAAGATATAATTTCTATTAATCACTACGTAATTTTTTCTTTCTTACCCTCTTATATAGGAATATTATCTATATTCACTTTTATATTGGTAGTTTAAGTTGAGTGCAAGTTCAATACATTAATTACCATTTATGTATTGAATATTGTATAGGTATAAACTCAGCTCCAAATTGACCAATTAGTAATTTAAATGCTTTCATTTGAGTAAAAATGATTGCATTGTAAAAATTTGGATAGTCAGATAATTGTTCGGGGCAGTTATAATTTTTTTAAAAAGTTTATTAAAGTAAAAATACAAAAGGCTTATTCAGTATTATATTGTTTTAAAACAATGGGACTAATAAAATGTAAATAAATTGCTCACCACCACTACACTTTTTAAAAAAATATATTTTATTGATTTTTTACAGAGAGGAAGAGAGAGGGATAGAGAGTTAGAAACATCGATGAGAGAGAGTCATCAATCAGCTGCCTCTTGAACACCCCCCACTGGGGATGTGCCCGCAACCAAGGTACATGCCCTTGACTGGAATCGAACCCTAGATCTTTCAGTCCGCAGGCCGATGTTCTGTTCACTGAGCCAAACCAGTTTCGGCCACTACACTTTTTTGGCTGACAGATATTTTACATCAAAACACAAGTACTGCATCACTTGGACCATGTGAGTTAATGTGTGTGTGTGTGTGTGTGTGTGTGTGTGTGTGTGTGTGTGTGTCTTATGCACACATGTGAGGTGGGGAATGTGGAATAAATCTGTGAAGCAAACTAATTTAGCAAAATGTAGATTTTTTGCAAGTTTTATTGCATAGACATATGAAATTCTATAATTGATATGTTTTGCTTTATTGAATAAATGTGTTCATTAAAGAAAATTGCCTGAAGGCCATAGTGCTTGTTCAAATGACTCATTCTAAGGTGTATTCTTTAGTGAAGAGGGGGAAGTATCATCATCAGTGCCTTAAAGTTCACTAGGAGAATAACAATAATATTAAATGTTACAAAATATGCTTGTAGAGACTCACACTATTTTTTCTTTAGCTGTAAATATCGATGGTTAGATTTGTATTTAGCACATTCACTTAAAAGGTTACAGGGGAAAGAGTAAGTGAACAGAATAAACTGTGCTGTTTGGTTACACAGCTGCTGCGATCACACTTGAATGTTCCACAAGTGATGTCAGACAGGCCCCTCGTGGTTGCTGTGTTACTGTGTCCTAGTGTTTCAGAGGCGCTATTGATTTAGGGATGAGCTGATTAAGCTTAAGAAGAAGGGATTTAGACAGACCATGGATGAGAAAAATTGTTTTAAAATATAATAGCAATAAATTCCCAAGAATCCAAACAAAGTAAACGATGATTGTGCAACCCATTTAAACAAAACACCTGACGGAAAGAGCCTTAATGTGTTCGGCACGTGATTATCTGGTGCTGTTTATTAAGATTGGGTTTCTACACTTAGGTTGTTGAAACAACTTTGCATGGTGTCTTTTGTATCCTAAAGCATTGTTGCTTGCCTTACACGTTTCAGGACTGAAGTGTGTTTGTCTTTTGTGTGACTCTTCAAACTTCACCTGCCAAACGGAAGGAGCATGCTGGGCTTCAGTGATGCTAACCAACGGAAAAGAGCAGGTGATCAAGTCCTGTGTCTCTCTCCCAGAATTAAATGCTCAAGTCTTCTGTCATAGTTCCAACAATGTTACCAAAACCGAATGCTGCTTCACAGATTTCTGCAATAACATAACACTGCACCTTCCAACAGGTAAGGGGTTTATCTTTGTTCATTCCAAGTTTAATTTTACTCCTGGGAAATCACACACATAGTAGATATCAACCTGTTCTGTGTTTCTTTAAATAAAATCTGTTTTACAGTTCTTTCCTTTTTTTTTTTCTTCCTTTGTACTGGTAAAATTGTCTAACGGTTAGGTGAGGTTGATTTTTTTTAATTGTGCAAGACTGTCAAAACATTGACAGCACATTATAATTTTGAAGAAATTTGTCTGTGTGAATTGCATTTTTGGAAGTGATGAATGGACCTAAAGTAAACGTAAATTTTTATGGTTTATTTTAAAGGAAAGACATTTAAATATACATCAAGGAAAGAAGAAAGAAAAAAATAGAGAAAAATAAAATATTGTAGACTTCCAACTTTTATGGAGACAGAAGCTTTTATTATGGGTACTTTCTGTATAGCTTCTTTATGTGCCCACACACATGTGAAAACATTCAGTAGCAGAAAGATATTATTACTCAGATACATTCCTGCCTTCCCCCAATGCCATGGTGTTTTATCCCAATTTAAAAAATACTGAAAATCTTAATCTCATATTTTATCAGCAATATGGGATCTGAAACTTTGGGGGATATTAACTCAAACCAAAAAATAACTTATGACCTGAGGGTGTCATGTTAGTGAATCTTCTGTATTTATTAATACAGTAAGAAGTAAGTGCTTGTTGTGTTAATGTCTATATACAGATACATACTCTTCCTTATAAATTAACATCTTAAGATACTGCTATTTACTCTTAGGCATTTGTATATCACCATATCAATATTCCACTATAAAAATTAATTTTCTTAAATTTTTCTTAAAAAATCTACTTTAAAAATTTCCTTTTCTTTATTGATTAAGGTATTGCATATGTGTCCTTATCTCCCCATTGCCACCTCCCCCCCACATCCCCACTCATGCCCTCACCCCCCTGTTGTCTGTGTCCATTGGTGAGGCTTATATGCATGCATATAAGTCCTTTGGTTGACCTATACCCCTTGCCCCCACCCTCCCCCACCTTCCCTCTGAAGTTTGACGGTCTGATCAATGCTTTGCTATCTCTGGATCTGTTTTTGTTCATCAGTTTATGTTATTCATTATATTCCACAAATGAGTGAGATTAAGTGATATTTATCTTTCTCTGACTAACTTATTTCACTCAGCATAATGCTCTCCAGTTCCATTCATGCTGTTGCAAATGGTAACAATTCCTTCTTTTTTATACCAGCATAGTATTCCATTGTGTAGATGAACCACAGTTTTCTAATCCACTCATCTGCTGATGGGCACTTAGGCTGTTTCCAAATCTTAGCTATGGTAAATTGTGCTGCTATGAACATAGGGGTGCATATATTCTTTCTGATTGGTGTTTCTGATTTCTTGGGATGTATTCCTAGAAGTGCAATTACTAGGTCAAATGGGAGTTCCATTTTTAGTTTTTTGAGGAAACTTCATACTGTTCTTCACAGTGGCTGCTCCAGTCTGCATTCCCACCAGCAGTGCATGAGGGTTCCATTTTCTCCACATCCTCACCAGCACTTGTCCTTTGTTGATTTGTTGATAGTCATTCTGAGATGATACTGCATTTGTTGTTTTGATTTGCATCTCTCGGATGATTAGTGAATTTGAGCATGTTTTTATATGTCTCTTGGTTTTCCTTATTTCTTTTTTTTGAAAAGTATCTATTTAGTACTTTTAACCTATTTTAAAAATAATTGGCTATCCCTCTTTTTTTATTATTACTGAATAACTTATTTAGTACCTTGGGATCACTACCACAAGTGTATTCAGAAACCATCTTCTTAAAAATTTTTTTTATTATGGTATAATTTAGATATAAGGAAATTAATGTCGTTTTCTAATACTTTTTTAAATCGAATTTATTTAAACAATACAACAAAATTTAATCAACAATATAGTTGCCGTTGTTTTCTACTACTTGTGCCCAATGCTAGGAAGCATTTTAATCCCTCTGTTGTAAAATTCTTGTGATTTTGATGCAAAAAATTCGGTCAATGCATTTTTGAGGCATTCTTCATTATTAAATTTTTTTCCAAGAAGAAAGTTTTGCAAAGAACGAAACAAATGGTAATTGGAAGGGGCAATATCAGGAGAATATGCAGGTTGAGGGAGAACTTCCCATTCCAACTGGCGCAGTTTTTCAGCAGTGATTCTTGCAGTATGCGGTCGTGCGTTATCGTGGTGAAGAATTACGCCCTTCCGATTAATCAGCGCGGGTTCTTTTTCTCTTAAAGCTTGGGCTAACCTTTCCAATTGGGCACTAAACACTGCACTTGTAATGGTTTGGTTAGATGGTAAAAGTTCATAATGAAGAATTCCTTTAAAATTCCACCAAACACACAACATCACTTTTTTCGCATGCAAGTCAGGTTTTGGCGTGGGCTGCGGAGCCTCATTTTTGTCCAACCATTGAGGCCACCTTTTCAAATTAACATACAGCACCCATTTTTCATCTCCGGTAACAATTTGCTCTAAAAACGGCAAACGGTTTTGACGAGAGAGGAGCGAACTGCAAATTGTGACTCTTTGATTACGGTTGTTGTCGGTCAACTCATGAGGAACCCATTTTCCAAACTTTTGGACTTTGCCAAGTGCACGCAATTGATTGGAAATTGTTTCTTGTGAACAATTTAAAGTTGTCGCAAGCTCTTGTTGGGTAATTTGAGGATTTTGCACCAAAAGAGCTTGAAGAGCTTCTTGATCAAAATTGGACACACGGCCTCGACCACTCTTGTCATCTAACGAAAAATTTCCCTCGCGAAATTTCTCAAACCAACGCTGGCATTTTCTGGCGCTAACTGCATCTGACCAAGAGCACTACAGATGTTTTTTGCAGCCTCACTTGCTTTTCTTCCTAATTGGAACTCGTAAAGCATGCAGTGCCGAATATGCTCTTCATCCGCCATCTTCTTAGCCCTAGTTTTGCAACAAAAACCAAACCAAACACAAACTTTTTCAAGCAAAACTTGTTAATTGCACTTCACACGTTCTGTAGATACCACGTGTTTGAAGGTTATGTCAATACAAGTCAACGCCAAGCAAGATTTTAAACGAATGTTTAAAAACGACATTAATTATTACTAGACCCGATATTTTAAATGGGTATTTTGATAATTTTGACACATATATGGTGTCCCCAAAAATGTATACACTCTTTAACAGCTGATAGCTCAATTTTAAAATGAAATGTATTATAATAAACACTCTGTATGTGAATGGTTTTTAACATCTCAATTTCTAAGTGTTAATTGATTGTATATTAAAATTAATTTTGAATATTCACCATATTTCCTACAAACTTGCCAAAATAACTTATATTATTTCTGGTAGATTTTTCAAGATTTTTGATGTTTTTACATATACAATCATCTGTGAATACAGGAAATATTAATCTTTCACTCTAATCTGTATGCATTTTATTTTTATCTCTTGCCTTTTCGCACTGGCTAACACTGCCAATTAGATGAATAGCAGTGATGAGAGTGAAGTTCTGTGCCTTTTTCCTGTCTGGGAGGAATGTCTTCATTTTTTTACCATTAAGTATGATGTTATTTAGTTCTTTTAATAGATGCCTGTCATCAAACTTTTATTCTCACTTCAGGGGAAAGTGTCCTTATCATGAATAAATTTTAAACTTTTGCAAGTATTTTCATGAATTTATTGAGATTATATCATGATTTTTCTTTTTTAGTCTATTGATAACACGGATTATATTAATTGCTTTTACAACTATCATTCATAACAGGAAAGTTGTGTGTTGTCTATCCAGTAATTATTCCTATGTAATAATTTGTTGAATTCATCTTCTTTTTACTTAAACTAAGAATTTGCTTCTGATCACGGCATTGTGTGATAAATTGACAGGAAATTGAATAGCCCTGTATATGCAGTCATCTGGTGGCAGGTTGTTCTCTCTGGGAGGCAGCACTAAATGGTTATTAGCTGTATTGCAGCAGCAGCTGTTGGGAGAGGCATTGGGAATCTCCAGGCTGAGAGCCGACACAGCCGGTGCCAAGAACGCCGCTGCTTCAATGTCATCAGTGAGTGTGATTAATATCCCCTGCTCTGCCTATCAGAGATTTATCACCTTTAAATGCGATCACGTATAGATGATATATATATATATAAGCATTCTGAAAAAATAGATCGTATGACATTTCTATGGTAATTAATACTCTGCATCACTTCCATGGGCCAAGAAAGCAAAGGTTGGGAGGTGATCAGAGGAAGTTGGAGAAAATCTGAGATCCCTTTGAGGGAAGCCAAGTGGATCCTTGCCTCTTTGGCTCATTCCTTCAGCACCCTGACCGTGGGGCCATTTCTGATAGCTGTGTTGATGTAGGGACGGTAACTCAGTCTTGTCATATTTCAGCTGGCCCTCTGTTGCTTAGACTCTGTGTGTAATATTGGGCTCTTGCTTTATTTCTTTGTGACAAAGTTCCCACCTTGAATACAGCTTGTGACATTTTCCTCCTCACTCCTCTCCCTGCTGGTTCTTTAATACTTGGCAATTGGTAGGAATTCACACTTGCCCTCCTAAAAAGCCTCTCACGTGTCTGACTAATTCCTAAACCTTTGGACTGGTGACTTTCATACATGTTTCCATTGTGACATACAGGCAGATGTAAATTTTACATAATTTCCCCCAACCTGCATTCACACACAACTGAAACAAGAATTTTATAATATATTCTTACCATTAAAATATGGGAGATACTCTATGCTCTTTCATTAAGTAAAAATGTTGGTCAACCCCCACTAATAGGTTCTGTTTACACTGGTTTGTTGATATTTAAAATGTGGTGATTTTAAATAAAGCAAGGACATTTATTATTTTAATTTATTAGTAAAATACCTATTAAGAAGCAGATTAGTATTTTAATTTCAAGTGTTTTTTTTTCTTTTAAAAGGCCTTTTTAAAAACCTCCTTATCCATTCACTTTTAATTCTAAATTGAATTAAATGTA